TATAAGAAGCAGCTTCAAAACATCCAGTCCAAGTTCTGATTTTTCTCTTTAGCATAAGGTTTATGACCTGGTGGGAATTCTTTTTCATTTATTCCTGACATTTAGCCAAGAAAAAAGGCTGGGCCCTGGAGGTCTACCCCAGAGGACCACAAGACTCAGGATTTTAGGGAAGGGAGGGACAAGGATCTTCTCAGAAGGTTGAGGCACAGCAGTGACCTGAACCCCAGGACATTTGCCAACGCCTGTCAGGTGGAGGGCACTTGCCTAGGTGCCATGAGCAAGGTGCTACCAAACCTTGTTGCAGCAAGAGACAGCCCAATGCAGGGTAGAGAGAGGCTTTGATCTAGGTTCCTGAAGGAGGCCCACTCGGTTGTGTCAACTACCTCTGAGGGCATGGGAGTGGCTCCAAGGACACGCATGTTTGCCCTCTGCCCAAGCTGCCAGGGGAAAGCAGCTAAGTGTTGGTCTTGGAAAAGTGAGCACTGAACTAAGCAGCACCAGCTTATGTTCTGCTGCCTCTGTCTGGCCCTTCCTCTCTCCCCCAGCTTAGCGGCCTCCCAGAGGTAGTTAACTGGTCCTTTAAGCAGCTGCCATCCCCTGCAGCCTTTCAGGCCCTGACTTGCAGGTTCTCTGTGCAAGCCTTTTTGGAAATATAATAGGTACAGTACTGTTAAAATGAGGGCACTGGGGGAAAAAAGGAGAAAAAAATAGGCAAAGCAGAGGAGGAGGAGGTAAATGCTAAAGATCTATGGCTGCCAAGCATGGTGGCTCACGCATGTAATCCCAACACTTTGGGAGGCTGAGGCGGGACAGTCATTTGAGGCCAGAAGTTCAAGACCAGCCTGGGCAACAAAGTGAGACCTTTTTCTTTTTTTTTGAGACTGAGTCTCACTTTGTCTCCCAGGCTGAAATGCAATGGCAGGATCTCTGCTCACTGCAACCTCTGCCTCCCGGGTTCAAGCAATTCTCCTTTCTCAGCCACCCAAGTAGCTGGGACTACAGGCACATGCCACCACACCTGACTAATTTTTGTATTTTTAGTAGAGACAGGGTTTCACCATGTTGGCCAGGCTGATCTCAAACTCCTGACCTCAAGTGATCCGCCCACCCTGGCCTCCCAAAGTGCTGGGATTTCAGGCATAAGCCACCGTGCCTGGCCTCTACACATATTTGTAAATATATGGCCAGGGGAAGGACAGCTGGCTACCATGTTCTGTTCACCACTTATGCAACACCCACTGAATGTCAGGTCCAAGTGATAGAAAGACAGGTGCCCCTATGCTTCTTGCCCAGAAGGAGGAGGTCATGTCTAGTGGCCAGAGGGATGGGTAAAAAACCATTAAAATAAAAACTAGTGTGTGCTATAATAAAGGTATGAATAATCAGCCATGATTAAAAATGAGGGGGGAGTAATTAAAAATGACTAATTAATAATAATAATAATATGCCTGGAAGTCTTAAGGTTTAGCAGAGGAAGTAATATTCCAGCCAGCCTTGAAGGAGTAACATAATAAGAGTTAATAATCATTGAACATTTCCAGTGACCAGGCATTGCGTACATTGATTATCACATGATCTCTTAGTAGCTACTATTATTTTCTCAGTTTTGCTGCTTTAGAGCAGAGGTTCATAGAGGTTAAACAACTAGGATTTCCCATGGTACTGTAGAGGTATAAAGAGTATTCCAAGTAGAGAAAATGGGCAAAGGCCTAGAGGGGAGAAGGTACACTGACAAGTGAGGTGGCAATTATCTGTACAGTCCTTGTCATTTTACAAAAGCTTCTGGAAATATGTCACACTTAATCCTCAGGGAAACCTTGAGAGGTAGGAATTTTCACCATTCTATATTGCAAAATATGGGCGGCAAAAATGGGCTTCAAAGAAGGTAAGAGATGCAGATTAAAAACCTGAACCTCCATCTGAATCGAAGGTAAGGGTTTTCTGTTCATTGCCCCATCACTACCAAACCTTGTTCTTGAAAATAATGGTCCAGTGGTGAGATACACTGAGGAACCCCTCACCCAGTGGGCCATCTCTGGGCCTCTGCATTCTGTAGCTATGGAGGGGCAATGGAATTGTTTTTTTCTTTGTATGAGGTTACCCATCAAACTGACCTTTGACCACCTTACTGAATAAATAATACTCATGCAAAATTCTGGAATCCTTTTTTTTTTGAGTTGGAGTCTCACTTTGTCGCCCAGGCTGGAGGGCAGTGGCTCAATCTTTGCAACCTCTACCTCCCGGGCTCAAGCAATTCTCCTGCCTCAGCCCCATGAGTAGCTGGGATTACAGGTGCCCGCCACCATGCCTGGCTAGTTTTTGTTTTTTGTTTATTTTATTTATTTATTTTTGAGGCAGAGTCTTGCTCTGTTGCCCAGGCTGGAGTGCAGTGGCACTATCTCAGCTCACCGCAACCTCCACCTCCCAGGTTCAAGCAATTCTCCTGCCTCCGCCTCCTGAGTAGCTGGGACTATAGGCACCCGCCACCATGCCTGGCTAATTTTTGTATTTTTAGTAGAGACAGGGTTTCACTATGTTGGTCGGGCTGGTCTCCAACTCCTGACCTTGTGATCCACCCACCTCAGTCTGTCAAAATGCTGGGATATAGGCGTGAGCCACCACACCCAGCCTGGAATCCTTTTACAATGAATAAAACATAAAGTTTTAGAAGAGGCAACAGATGCATAACACAACACTCAAAATGTACAGGAAGGTATAGTTCCCTTGACCGGCCCTGTCAGCAACCAGACCACTCAGAGGCAACCACTGTCAATGGTTTTTTGTGTATCTTTTTTTTTTTTTTTTTTTTTGAGATGGGGTCTTGCCCCTCCGGGTTCAAGCAAGTCTCCTGCCTCAGCCTCCTGAGTAATTGGGATTACAGGTGCCTGCCACCATGACCAGCTAATTTTTGTATTTTTAGTAGAGGTTTCATCACGTTGGCTAGGCTGATCTTGAACTCCTAACCTCAGGTAATCCACCCACCTCAGTCTCCCAAAGGGCTGAGATTACAGGCATGAGCCATCACGCCAGTTCTTCTATATCCTTTTATAGATGTTTTGGCATCTTTATTATGCTGGTAAAACACTACCAACAAAACACAAAATCTGCATAAAATTCTGTATTGATTCATTTTACTTCATGCTGTGCCTAAGCTGTGCCAAGCCCTGTGTTGGAGTCACAGATAATCTATGGTCTAGAGCCCCCAAGGGTGTGCCCGGTGTGTGCCTATGTGTGTTAAGAGCGTGTGAGAGTGGGCCTGTCATCCCAGTGGAGGCTAAGGCGGGTGGATTACTTAAGACCAGGAGTTGGAGACCAGCCTGGCCAACACGGTGAAACCCCGTCTCTATTAAAAATACAAAAATCGGCTGGGCGCGGTGGCTCACGCCTGTAATCCCAGCACTTCGGAAGGCTGAGGTGGGTGGATCACGAGGTCAAGAGATCGAGACCATCCTGGTCAACAAGGTGAAACACAGTCTCTACTAAAAATACAAAAATTAGCTGGCACTAATTAGGTGGCGCGCGCCTGTAGTCCCAGCTACTCGGGAGGCTGAGGCAGGAGAATTGCTTGAGCCCTGGAGGCAGAGGTTGCGGTGAGCCCAGATCGCGCCACTGCACTCCAGCCTGGGTAACAAGAGCAAAAACTTCGTCTCAAAAGAAAGAAAGAAAAACCAAAACTTTAACCCCTTTAACTCAGTATTTCCTAAATGTATTCCATAAGTTTAAATATGCAAAAATAAAGTTTAAAAAAAAATACAAAAATCAGCTGGGCGTGGTGGCCCACGCCTGTACTCCCAACTACTCAGGAGGCTGAAGCACGAGAATCACTTGAACCTGGGAGGCAGGGTTGCAGTGAGCCGAGATCGGACCACTGCACTCTAGTTTGGGTGACAGAGCAAGACTCCCTCTCAAAGGAAAGAAAAGAGAGAGAGAGAGGATAGGGGCAACAGGTATCAAGGGTTGATACCTTGATACTCCAGCTTGCGCTTGGGTGACAAAGTTAAGACTTCCTCTCAAAAAAAAAAAAAAAAAAAAAAGTTCTAAAAGCCAGACTTTTTTTTTTTTTTTTTTTTTGAGATGGAGTCTTGTTCTGCCGCCCAGACTGGAGTGCAGTGGCACGATCTCGGCTTCTGCAACCTCTGCCTCGGGGATTCAAGCAATTCTCCTGTCTCAGCGTTCTGAGTAGCTGGGACTACGGGCGCCCGCCACCACGCCTGGCTGATTTTTTTTATTTTTAGTAGTGAGGGGGTTTGGTCAGGCTGGTCTCGAACTCCTGACCTCGTGATCGGCCTGCCTCGGCCTCCCAAAGTGCTGGGATTACAGGCGTGAGCTACCATACCTGGCCGGTTATTGTTCACTTCAAACATCTCAGGAAAGACCTAAAGTATCCTCAGGGTTTACACTCATAGTCTCTTGATTCCTGTATATTCCAAGATTCGTGGGAGGGAAAAGTACTAAGCTTGGAGTCAGGAGGCCTGATTTTTCTTCCTTTCACCAAGTTTCTGTAGTTCAGTTTCATGATCCCTATGGCAACGTCTGGCAACACTGGCATTTAGTAGGTAGCTTTTCGTTCGCAGATTGAGTCCTTTCTTGGTCCTGTTGCAGGCAGGGGGTAATTCTGCCCTGCTGGATAACGGTGCAGGGAGGATCAATCGCAGAGCCTTCCCAAGAGAAGCAAGTCAGTCAACTCCTCTACTGAGCTTCCCACGAGGAAGCAGGATCCCCTATCCTAACCATGGGCATGTCTGAGGGTCGCAGCTGTTAACCGGGAATGATATGGCCCTTCCTCCCGCACTTCCCCCTTTCTTCTCCTCTTTCAACACTTGAAAATAAACTATTTCATGGAATTGGGCTCTCCGCTCCTCGCGCACAGCGCAGGACCCCCGCGGGCCCAGAACCGTCGCGTCTTGCTAGTTCCCACCCTCCCCTCCTGGAGGACCGTAAGTAGACGCTCTTGCAGAGCGCCTCTCGCTGGTTGGGGCGGGGGTGGGCGGAGCCAGCGCCGTCTGGGCTGTGGAATCGGAGGGTGGGGACACTCTGGCCCGGCTCTCGGTGGTGCGGGAGCGGGCGGTAGCAGCGGCCGCTCTGGTCGGCGGACGTGCTGCCGAGTAGTCCCGGAAGCGAAGCAGCGATGGCGGAGAGTCCGACTGAGGAGGCGGCGACGGCGGGCGCCGGGGCGGCGGGCCCCGGGGCAAGCGGCGTTGCTGGTGTTGTTGGCGTTAGCGGCAGCGGCGGCGGGTTCGGGCCGCCTTTCCTGCCGGATGTATGGGCGGCGGCGGCGGCAGCGGGAGGGGCTGGGGGCCCGGGGAGCGGCCTGGCTCCGCTGCCCGGGCTCCCGCCCTCGGCCGCTGCCCACGGGGCCGCGCTGCTTAGCCACTGGGACCCCACGCTCAGCTCCGACTGGGACGGCGAGCGCACCGCGCCGCAGTGTCTACTCCGGATCAAGCGGTGAGCCGGGGTTTTTCCTCCCCCAGCCCCGAGCTCCGGGGCTCGACCTTCCCCGCCCCCCACCCTCTCCCACTACAACTCACCCCCCACCCGATGCGCTGCCCTCGCGGCGGCCCACCTCTACGGCTCAAATCTTGCCAGCTCCGGGCGTCGGGATCCAAGCCCCTTCTCCCTCGACCCCTAGCCCCGCTAGCACCAACCCCCGCCTCATGTGCCCAGATCCGACCCCGCCCCTCGACAACCTCCCGTGAGCCCTCCGTCTCCATTCCGGCCACCCTCCCCCACACCTCCCACCTCCCGGTCGAAACCCGACCCTTTCGCGCTTCAGTAACACCCCCTCCCGCCTTCGGCGCCGCCCCTATTTCCCCTTCCCCACCCAACCTTGCTAGATGCTGCCCGCAGGCCCCACCCATCGGTCCCCCTTCTCTTTTCCCCTGGAGCCCGGTTTCTAACACCGACACACTCAGCTTGCTTTGCCTGCCTCTGACTCGAGCCAGCCAGCCTTTTTATCCTCCCTTTTCCTCAGATTCCCTCCACATAATTCTTTTGCCAGGTCTAGATTGTTTCCCTCACCCAAATCTTTCCTTGAACCCCTTTTCCAGTATCCCAAAGCTGTCCACTTTTACACCTCTTCCAGAAACACAGGCTACCTCCACCCACTTTCCCAGTGCCACTCTGGATTGTAATATCCCACTCAGGACCTTCTTTCTTGTGTTTTCCCTTCCTCCCTCTCCCGGGTCATCTGTTTTACTTTTACTGAAGCAAATGTACTCAATTCAAATATAGGAACAAAGGCCTAAGTCCTTTCTGTGCTTATTTCTTGGGTGACTGATCTTAGATCTTATCATTTAGTAGATAATGTTTTGCAAAAGCACATCGAATAGTACCTATGGCATAAGAAAAGGGCAGTGTTCTTTAGTTGCTTTTAATTTTGAAACCTGTTCTCTGATTAACAGACTTCTCTCCATGCCCGCATCATAAGCATCTTCATTTAGTTCTTATCCCCCATGTTCCACGTACCTTCAGATGTCTCTCTACTTTTCAAGGTTGTAATAAAAATTAACACAATGTATGTAAAGTACCTGGCACAGGGCCTGACACAGGAGGTCAGCTCTGGAGGGATTGCCATCTCTCACTGAAAGTCCACATTCAACTCTTCCTCCTTCAACCATTTCTCTCACCAAGTTCTGACATACCTTTTGAGTTTGGCCAATACTTCTTTTCTCTGCTCTGTCCCCTATTTGCCCTCTTTATGTCCCTACCCACCCAAGCAAGTCCCTAGACTTTTCCCCACCTAGAATGTTCTTAGCCCCTTGCTCTCAACTGATCCATTCCAGTTGGTGAGATATGACTCAGAAATCCTGTCATCTCCTATAGAAATCCACGTGTCATCTTCCAGATGGGAGATTCTCTGCAATTTCTGAGGGTTCCTCCCCAACCTGAAGAGATTGCTACCCTTAGTCCCCTGGGCAAGAAGACCACCATGATACTCCCTGTGCTGGCTGGTTTGCTTCATACAATGCCCTTACCAGCAAGGGTCCACTGTATAGTTGACAGAATTAATTTTTTAGTGGAGTTGACTATGCCTTTCCAGTTACTAAAAAGTCTTCATTTAGCATTCAGCGTAGTACCTGGGAATCATGGAGGTGGGGAGTGAATGAATTGCCATGTGGGAGGAAGTGAGAGTAAGTGGAAAGTGGCTTTTCTAGGGTGACATTTGATGCCATTGGGAGCTCTTTTTTTTTCCCCTCCCCTCCCCTCCCCCTGAGGAAACAATGCCCTTTTGATAATAATTTGCTCTCTGCCTGCCTGACAAGTACTCAGCTGGGATTTCTCAGCCAACAAGACAGTACAAACACTTGTGGTACCAAGCACCACTTTCTCAAACCCTGGCCTCATTGAGGCCAAACTGTCCTGCTCAAGGGATTCCCCCTTTCCCCCATCTTCCTCACTCCTTCCCCCACCTCCTCTTGGTGTTATACAGGGATATCATGTCCATTTATAAGGAGCCTCCTCCAGGAATGTTCGTTGTACCTGATACTGTTGACATGACTAAGGTATGTAATTTGATGGGGGCTTGGGGGTTTTTGGGAAATTGGGGGCCATAAAGTTGGAAGAGCCTAAAAGAGATTATTCAGCTCACCTCTCTGATTACACAGATGAAGAAATCAAGACCCCGGGACAGTAAGTGGCTTGTCCAAGGTCACATAGTGAGGTGGAGCAGTGCTTTGAAGAGGTGTCTGTTATTAGCGTACCCCATAGGAACTGATTGGCTTGGAAAATCCCAATTCACGTTTGTTGTCACAGCTTGACTATGGGGCACTCTTTAACTCTCAAAAGTGCTCCTGTTTGGATGATAAATTATATGGTCCCTGTCCATTGTACTTCCCAGCTCTTCCTCCATCCCATTACTCTTGACCTAAACTGTGGTCCTATAAATCAGATGTAGGAAAGCATGGGGCTAGGACAAGCTTGACTGAAGGGTTTGTGGTTAAAGGACTTTACTCAGATCCTGTCCTTATTAGTTGCGTTTAAATATCCCTTCCACCCCAAAAACTATAGCTTTCTTGTCTTCCACACAGAGAGGAAGCTTAGTACATAATGCTACTTTTCTCTGGCATAGATACCTAGGCTTTTCTGTCACTGAGTGCTCTATGCACAGAAATGCAGTTGCAATTAAACTGATGTTATTAAGAAATCAGATTTCTTAAACCTAATGTTGCTTAAGTGAAACACATAGTTTTCTTACAGTAAATTTCTTACGGTAAAAATTCAGATTTTGTATTGTTGCTGTATGTTTTTTTGTTGTTGTTGTTTGGAATAGATTTAATATTTATTTTTTTCTTTTTATGTGGTTGGAAATGTTTTTCTTAGGACATCAGTCTAGTACCAGTGTTAATAGCCTAGGACCTGAGGTTCCAGAGTTGATGCCATGTTGAGACCAGTTGAGTTTACTCTTCCAAATGACTAAGAGCCAGAATATGACCTAGGGTCTTGCCAGGAGGGCAAGGTGGGAACTGTAAACCTAGGCATTAGATTGCCATGTCCTTTTCCTCTTGCTGTTCAAATTCTTAGCAGACCTAAATGCTTAGGAGCTTTCGAGTCAGTTTAGGTTTTTCCTCCCTTCAGAAAGGGAAATCCTGTTCAAGAATTATGGCTTGTGGGGGAAGAGAATTTAGTGTCATTTTTCAGAGTTGCTGATGTTTTTTTTTTAAAGCCAACGATATTGGGGAAAGTTCTGGGTTGATCTAATGGCTCTGAGTGGACCTTGAGTCTTCCACATTTTCAGTCATGATGTGCTTCCTGAGCCACATCCAACACAGTAGGTTCTATCCTCTTCAGAGGAAGCAAGCAAATATCCTAGGCATCTATCACAACCTCTCACTCTGCTCTGTTACAGGCACTGGGGCTGTGGCCTCCAATCCCTTTCCTCATTTCCTTTCATCATACTTTCCCTTCATGCCACATAAATACAGGGTGGGGTTGCATCATATGCATGTTTGGCTTGGGCAAATCCAAACACATATATTCAGCCAAAATATGTGTTAATGTCTTAAAATTAAAAATGCTAAGATTATATTTTATAGTTGTGTGTTATATTTTTGCACGGTGGTGTTTTATCTTTTGTATGTAACACTGATCTGGGAGGTCTGCAGCAAAAAAAAAAAAAAAACATGCTTTAAGAGAGTTTTAGGGGCTATTCAAGGGTGATTTTGACTAGTTTCAGTTTTCACCTTGGGCTCTAACTTTGGAAGTAACCTCTGAGTAAGATGTCATTCCACTCTAATGAGATTTCTTAAAATTCCAAACCTACGTATTAGTACAAGTGAGTACAGGATGTTCATTCTGCATGGTGAGGATATAGAACATGTGTACCAGATTATGGGCCCTGCTTCTGGTGTGGGTAGCAGGTGGAGGGTAGCCAGGAGGGGTTGGGGTGGGTCATCACCTCACAATTTTGAGATGGGGTTTTATTTTGCAGATTCATGCATTGATCACAGGCCCATTTGACACTCCTTATGAAGGGGGTTTCTTCCTGTTCGTGTTTCGGTGTCCGCCCGACTATCCCATCCACCCACCTCGGGTCAAACTGATGACAACGGGCAATAACACAGTGAGGTTTAACCCCAACTTCTACCGCAATGGGAAAGTCTGCTTGAGTATTCTAGGGTAAGAGGAGATTTTTAAGTAGCCAAGTTGGTTGTTAGCAGAAAATTTACTCTAGGCAAGCCTTTATAAACCAGTTCCTCATCTGAACCACGGAACACAGAAAGTAATTGATTGGCTCTTCTAAAATCTCCCCAGGAACGTATGTGACAGTATCATTGTAGATGCAGAGGGGAGAAGTTCATTTATGACAGAGGAAACCTTTGTGAAGTGGTTCTCAGAGTGTGGCCCTGAGCATCTGGGAACTTGTAGCTGAGCACTTTCTGGGGCCCTACCTTAGACCTACATCAGAAACTCTGGGTTGGGGCCAGAAATCTGTTTTGTTTTGTTTTGTTTTGTGTTGTTTTGTTTGAGACGGGGTCTCTCTCTGTCGCCAGGCTGGAGTGCAATGGCATGATCTTGGCTCATTGCTACCTCCGCCTCCCAGGTTCAAGTGATTCTCCTGCCCCAGCCTCCCTAGTAGCTGGAACTACAGGCACACACCACCACACCCAGCTAATTTTTGTATTTTTAGCAGAGACAAGGTTTTACCATGTTGGCCAAGATGATCTCAATCTCTTGACCTTGTGATCCACCCGCCTTGGACTCCCAAAGTGCTGGGATCACAGGCATGAGCCACAGCGCCTCACCCAGAAATCGGTATTTTACAAGCTCTCCAGATGATTGTGGTGCATACTGCAGTTTGAGAACCACTCTCTTGGGGTGTTGAGGTCTTGTTTTCTCTCCTGAACAGGTTGAGAAAGGCCGCAGGTCTGTGCCATTCATGATTTTGGGTGTCTTGAGTCTCACAATAAGTTGCTTTGAAGGTGGTGGTGGTGGTGGTGATTATGGTTTTGTTTTTTGTTTTTTGGCAGAGGCAGGTGTCTCACTGTGTTGCCCAGGCTGGTCTTGAATTCTTGGCCTCAAGCAGTCTTCCTGTCATGGCTCTAAAGCACTGGGGTTACAGGCATGAGCCTCCACGCCTGGCCTGATTATAATACTTTAACAATGACAAATGGCTGAGATTAGAAATCACATCAGATACGAAATTAGTTTTTAATGCATCTTCTTTTTGGATGCTCCTGAGATTTTGCTTCATAGAGTTCCCATTTTAGTTGCCTTTTGGGGCTGAAAACTCAGTGTGGACATGTCTGCTAGCATATTTTAGACTGGTCTTTTTATTGTGGTCTGAACTTCTCTGGGGCAGAGAAGACGTGCAGGTTGAAGCTGAGAAAGTACCCCCAAACTGATGATTCTGTTTTTCTGCTGTCCAACATGTTTCCAGGTTTATGTGAGGGAAGAGTAGCTGAAAATAAGCTAGAGACAGGATTCATTTTTCTAGAACTTACTTAGACCCTGGGATATGTTCTGCTGTGATTTTGGCCGTGAATAAGTCCTTTAAAGGATGTCCTTAAAGAAGTACTTCATCTCATTAGGGTACTTAATTAGTTGTCTTTGCTGATAGGCTGAAACCCATGATGGTAAAGAAATTTAGTCATTGCTTCTGTGTAAAATTTGTTCATCATAGTGTTTCTCAAGTAGGTTCTCCCTCATTGGGTCGGTATAAAACTCTCTTGAGATACCAATCACAGGAACAGGGAAATAAGACAGTGGGGTAAAAGTAGTAGAAATGTGTTGGGTAGAAAAGGAGAAGCTACCCTGAAATTGAAAATTTGTCGTAAAGAATCACAGAGTGGAAAATTCTTGGCTGGGTGCAGTGGCTCACACCTGTAATCCCAGCACTTTGGGAGGCCGAGGTGGGTGGATCACTTGAGGTTAGGAGTTTGAGACCTAACCTAGGTGTGGCAAAACCCCGTCTCTATTAAAAATTCAAAAATTAGCTGGGCATGGTAGTGCACGCCTGTAGTCCCAGCTACTCGGGAGGCTGATACACGAGAATCGCTTGAATCTGGGAGGCGGAGGTTGCAGTGAGCCAGGATCACGCCACTGCCTGCCAGCCTGGGTGACAGAGAGAAACTCTTGTCTCAAAAAAAAAATTCTCAGGTGTTGATAGTTGACTATGTTAGTTTTATCAGCCTCATTTTTTTCCCTCTCTACCTAAAAAACAACGTTGGGCTGACTCAGTGGCAAAAGAAATTTAATGAGAGTTGACTCTTGTAAAGGTTCAGAGAGCAGGAGGTCTAAAGTTCCTGGGGGAGCAAAGCTGAAAAAAGAACAGATTGAGAAGCACTTAAGAGCAGCCCCCAGTGAAGTTACTATTAGGCATTACTGACTTGGGCTTTCCTTCAGTACAGCAGGGAAAGGGAAGTGGGCAATCAACTTGAACAAGCCAGTCCTGGCTCAGGTTGTGTTTGGCTTCCAGCTCTGGTGCCATCTCTTCAATTAATTGAACTAAAAATAAATGTATTAATATCTAAGCTGCCCCCTCCCACTAATATTTAGTTAGGTTTATGAAAGAAGCAATTTTGGTATTTTTATGTTTTCAATAATAATATTTTCAGATCTTCTACTGTCTGGAAGCACTCCTTATTCTCTTCCTATCCTTTGGCAGAGTTGTGGAGTCTTAAGAGAATTTGACACTGCTTGGGGGTTTGATACAGAACTAGATCTCTGATCGTCAGCCCCACCACATGGCCTCTAGCCAGATGGCTTCAGTCACCCATGTGCCTCTATGCTCAACTTCTCTCTCCCGTAACTCCATAGACACTCATAAATGAACTCTTTGAGATCCACAGAGGTTAACATTTATATAACTTTTAGAGCTAATTGCTTACTTAATTTCTTTTGTTTTGATTGTTGTAACTGTTTGTAGTACAAAGAAAGTCCCTTCAAAGTTATATAGCTTACTTTTACATGTTGTTTTGCCCCCCCCCTTGATATGAGGATTAGGCAATTGACTGATTTCTGGTGAAATCAGAACATGAGTATGAGACAGAGGCTGGGAAATTCCAGAGTGTTAATAGTGAAAGAGAAACTTATGGTGAGTCACTTATGGTGGTGATGCCAGGTCCCAGAGTACTTATTCCCTCCCTGGTCTTTCTCTGCCTTACCCTCCTCCCTTCCTTCTGATGTGTTTACAGTACATGGACTGGACCTGCCTGGAGCCCGGCCCAGAGCATCTCCTCCGTGCTCATCTCTATCCAATCCCTGATGACTGAGAACCCCTATCACAATGAGCCCGGCTTTGAACAGGTAAGGCCAGATGGGCCTGGCTCTGGGGTGTAGAATAGTGTTTTAAGAGATCTGCAAGTGGGCCAGGCACGGTGGCTCATGCCTATAATCCCAGCACTTTGGGAGGCCAAGGCGGGTGGATCACGAGGTCAAGAGATCGAGACCATCCTGGTCAACAAGGTGAAACCCCATCTCTACTAAAAATACAAAAATTAGCTGGGCATGGTGGTGTGTGCCTGTAATCCCAGCTACTTGGAAGGCTGAGGCAGGAGAATTGCTTGAACCCAGAAGGTGGAGGTTGCAGTGAGCCGAGATCTGCATAGGAGTCTTTTTTTTTTAAATATACCTAGCACAGCCCCATGTACTGCAGTTGTTGCTATAGGAAAAAAAGGGAACTAACTTGTGTTTCTTAGTAAAGAAATTTTTCACCAGCCACAGTGGCTCACACTTGTAATCCCAGGCCTTCAGGAGGCAGAGGCAGGTGGATCACCTGAGGTCAGGAGTTCTAGACCAGCCTGGCCAACATGGTAAAACCTTGTCTCTACTGAAAATACAGAAAATTAGCTTGTAAGGAATTTGAGACAAGCCTGACCAACATGGTGAAAACCTATCACTACTAAAAATACAGCAAATTTAGCTGGGTGTAGTCACTTGAACCCGGGATGCAGAGGTTGCAGTGAGCTGAGATCACGCATTGTACTCCACCCTGAGCGATAAGAACGAAACTCTATTCCCCTTGCCCAAAAAAATAATAATAATTTTTTTTTAAATTTATGAGAGTTACAATAAGTATGTTACTTGGATTCCTTTATGGTATGAAAGTCAATGGACTCATTTGGAAATTAACTTTTTTTTTTTTTTTTTGAGATGAGTCTCACTCTTACCAGGCTGGAGTGCAGCAGCACGATCTTGGCTCACTACAACCTCTGCCTCCCAGGTTCAACTGATTCTGCTGCCTCAGCCTCCTGAGTAGCTGAGACTACAGGCACACACCACCAGGCCTGGCTAATTTTTGTATTTTTAATAGAGATGGGGTTTCACCATGTTGGCCAGGACGGTCTTGTTCTCTTGACCTCGTGATCCTCCCACCTCGGGCTCCCAAATTCTGGGCTTACAGATGTGAGCTAGAAATTAATTCTGTATTTTTAGTAGAGAAAGGGTTTCACTATGTTGGGCAGGCTGGTCTCAAACTCCTGACCTCAGGTGATCTGCCTGCCTCGGCCTTACAAAGTGCTGGGACAGGCCTGAGCCACCAAGTCCGGCCTCAGAAATGAACAAAAATTATTCCCTAAGCTATCCTTTCTCCAAACAGTGATTTCAGGAAGAGATTGTAATTGAAATAGACCTCATAAGATTTTTAGGTCTTGTTTTTTTTTGTTGTTGTTGTTGTTTTTTAAGAGAGTCTTGCTCTGTCACCCAGGCTGGAGTAAAGTGGTATAATCTCAGTTCACTACAACCTCTGCCTCCCAGGTTCAAGTGGTTTCTTGTGCCTCTGTTTATACAGGCTTTCTAAACCAAAGTTGAAGTTTTATCTTCTGAAAATTTTAACTTTTGCTTATGGTTTATTTCTAATTTTACTATTTCTTTGAGACAAAGTGTTGCTCTGTCACCTAGGCTGGAGTACAGTGGCGCAGTCATAGTTCACTGAAGCCTTGAACTCCTGGGCTCTAGCCATCCTCTCTCCTCAGCCTCCTCAGTAGCTGGGACGACAGGTGTACGCCACCAAGGCTCAGCTAATTTTTGTATTTTTTGTAGAGACAGGATCTCACCATTTTGCCAAGGCTGATCCCGAACTCCTGAACTCAAGCAATCCCCTGCACCAGCTTCCCAAGGTGTCAGGAGTACAAGCATGAGTCATCAGGCCCAGCCCTTCTTCTGATTTATAATAATTGGTTCACTGATGGTGGGACCCAAGAGACATATAACAGGTAAAGGAGTTAACCAGGAAGCCTCCTTTACTTGTTGATTTCTAAAGGTTTTCTACACTGAGACTCTTCACTTCATTTATACCTTTTTGTCCTACCATCATTCTTTTTTGTTTTCTCCCCCTAAAGAGACAGTCCTTCCCTGCCTGGGCAACGTAATAAGACCTTGTCTCTACCAAAAAATCAAAAACATTAGCTGGGCATTGTGACATGCGCCTGGAGTCCCAGCTACTCAGGGGACTGAGACAGGAGCATTGCTTGACCCCAGGAATTTGAAGCAGCAGTAACCTATGCTTGTGCCACCACTCTCCAGCCTGGATGACAAAGCAAGAGCCCACCTCTTAAAAGAAAAATTTTTTAAATAAAAAGCCGGGCACAGTGGCTCATGCCTGTAATCCCAGCACTCTGCCAGGCTGAGGCAGGTGGATTACCTGAGGTCAGGAGTTCACAACCAACCTGGCTAACATGGTGAAACCATGTATCTACTAAAAAATATAAAAATTAGCCGGGTGTGGTGGCGGGCGCCTATAATCCTAGCTACTCAGGAGGCTGAGACAGGAGAATTGCTTGAGTCCGGGAGGCGGAGGTTGCAGTGAGCCAAGATTACGCTGTTGCACTCCAGCATGGGCGACAAGAATAAAACTCAAACAAAAAACAAAAAGTGGAGGTTGGGCGCTGTGGCCCATGCCTAGAATCCCAGTACTTTGGGAAGCTGAGGCAGGCAGGCAGATCATGAGGTCAGAGGTTCGAGACCAGCCTGGCCAATATGGTGTAACCCCATCTCTACTAAAAATACAAAAATTAGGCAGGCATGGTGGTGTGAGCCTGTAATCCCAGCTACTCGAGAGACAGGCAGAAAAATGGCTTGAACCCGGGAGGCAGAGGTTGCAGTGAGCCGAGATCATGCCACCACACTTTAGCCTAGGAGGCAGAGCAGGACTCCATCTCAAAAAAAAAAAAGTTGGGTCCCGCTATCGCAACTGATGCCTTCAGTCCCAGCTATTCTGGAGCCCAGGAAGTCAAGGCTGCAGTTAGTTGTGATTGTGCCACTGCACTCCAGCCTGGGCGATTGCAAAGACCCTGTTTCAAAAAAAAAAAAAAGAGAGAGAGAGAAAAGAAAAGCTAAAAAAAACCAGGATCTTACTTTATTGTCTAAGCTGGACCCAAACTTCTGGGCTCAAGTGATCCTCACAGCTTGGCTACCTGAGTAGCCGGGACTACTGCTGCATACCACCAGGCTTAGCAACCCTACCGTCATTCTTATGTTTGGTTATTTCTCACATAATCTTTATCTGATAGGCCTTTCACTTCACATTCAGGAAATATGATGGATCTAGTTTGCTGGTTATAGGCCAAATGACCTTCAACCTGATGGTACATTTGGAGGGTGATAGGGGTGAATGGTCTCAAAAATAAAGGTGTAGTTGCTCTTCATGGATCTGCCATATAGTGAGAAAGGTGTCTTTTTAGTTTGTGTGACTGGCTCACATACCCCATACTGATCCTGAAGTCTCTTCCCATTGGCTTTCTTTTTGCTTAAATTTTGGGGTATTCTGGCATCTGTTATATTACAGGAGAGACATCCAGGAGACAGCAAAAACTATAATGAATGTATCCGGCACGAGACCATCAGAGTTGCAGTCTGTGACATGATGGAAGGAAAGTGTCCCTGTCCGGAACCCCTACGGTATGTGTCAAGAGGGCTTATGTAGTAGTCATTCCTTTTGGGCATTTGAGTAGTTGGCAGTTTTGAGGACCTTTAGGGGAGAATCCAGTGATGGGCGCCAGAGGGAGGTAGAGAAGAAGGAAAATGTGGTTCCTGCTTTTAAAGAACAGGTGACTGAAGATTACCCAAGAGGAAGTTCAGAGAGCTACTCTGTTGTTGGAGAATATCACACTTTTGGGAGAGGCACTCCACATCCTCAGGGAGCTCCCAGTTTGATGAAGTCTTAAATGTGATATTTTACGGCCAAATGTGTAGAGCACTTCATAATAATAAACTCTTTTCTTAGTGCTGAAGTTTATTTTTAAGTTCCAAAACTGGATGAACAATGTCAGGGTTAAAGTTATAAGAGAATTTTGAGTCAGGTTTGGGATTAGGGATGGCCTATTGAAAACAACTGAGGTGGAGCAAGTCATGAGTTGAAGTTGGAATTCAAATGGTGAGTATTGGCCAGATGGCGGCTCATGTCCTATAATCCTAGCACTTTGGGAAGCTGAGATGGGAGGATCACTTGAGCCCAGGAGTTTGAAAACAGCCCAGTCAATAAAGGGAGACCACATCTCTACAAAAATTTTTTAATTAGCCAGATGTGGTGGCACACTCCTGTAGTCGCAAACCCTCAGGAGGCTAGGTGGGAGGATTGCTTGAGCCTAAGAGGTTTGAGGCTGCAGTGAGGTGTGATCATACCACCACACTCCAGCCTGGGTAACTGAGCAAGACCCTGCCTCAAAAGAAAAACAAATGGTGAGTATTACAGTTACTGTCATAATTCCCAAGGTGTAGGGTAAGTCAACCACAGGCAGTTAGGTGTTCCTTTTTCCATTTAAAGATTTTTGTAGAGGCCAGGAACAGTGGCTCATGACTGTAATCCCAACACTTTCGGAGGCCAGGAAGGGCAGATCGCAAGGTTAGAAGTTTGAGACCAGCTTGGCCAACATGGTGAAACCCCGTCTCTGCTAAAAAATACAAAAATTAGGCTGAGCATGGTGGCTCATGCCTGTAATCCCAGCACTTTGGGAGGCCAAGGCAGGCAGATCATGAGGTCAGGAGTTTGAGACCAGCCTGGCCAACATGGTAAAACCCTGTCTCTACTAAAAATACAGAAATTACCTGGGCGTGGTGGCGCACGCCTGTAGTCCCAGCTACTACTCAAGGCTGAGGCAGGAGAATTGCTTGAACCCAGGAGGCGGAGGTTGCGGTGAGCTGAGATCGCGCCATTGCACTCCAGCCTGGGCGACAGAGTGAGACTACATCGCAGAAGGAAAAAAAATACAAAAATTAGCCAGGCATGGTGGTGTGTGCCTATAATCCCAGCTATTCAGGAGACTGAGGCATGAGAATCACTTGAACCCGGGAGGCAGAGGTTGCAGAGAGCCAGGATCCTGCCACTGCACTCCAGCCTGGGCAACAGAGTGAGACTCCGTCTCAAAAAAAAAAAAAAAGATCTTTGTAGAAAACCAAATCTGGGCCAGGCGCGGTGGCTCACGCCTATAATCCCAGCACTTTGAGAGGCCAAGGTGGGTGGATCACAAGGTCAAGAGATTGAGACCATCCTGGTCAACATGGTGAAGAAACCCTGTCTCTACTAAAAATACAAAAATTAGCTGGGCATAGTGGCGCGCGCCTGTAATCCCAGCTACTCGGTAGGCTGAGGCAGGAGAGTTGCTTGAACCCAGGAGGTGGAGGTTGTGGTGAGCCGAGATTACACCATTGCACTCCAGCCTGGGTAACAAGGGCAAAACTCTGTCTCAAAAAAAAAAAAAAAGATCTTTGTAGAAAACCAAATCTGGACTTGGGAATGCTAGGTGTTTAACTTGATATTAAGGTTAGGTGAGAAGGCTAGGCATGGTGGCTCACACCTGTAATCACAGCACTTTGGGAGGCTGACACAGGCGGATAACTTGAGGTCAGGAGTTTGTGACCAGCCTGATCAACATGGTGAAACCACATCTCTATTAAAAACACAAAAATTAGCCAGGTGCGTGGTGGCACACACCTGCAATCGCAGCTATTCTGGAGGCTGAGGCAGGAGAATCGTTGGAATGCTGGAGGCAGAGAGGTTGCAGTGAGCTGAGATCATACCACTGCACTTCAGCCTGGGTGACAGAGCGAGACTCCATCTCAAAAAAAAAAGAAGGTTAGGGAAGGGGTGACCTGTACCTCTAGGTTTCTGACTTAAACTTTTCTGCTTGTTTTCCAGAGGAGTGATGGAAAAGTCTTTTCTGGAGTATTATGACTTCTATGAGGTGGCCTGCAAAGATCGCCTGCACCTTCAAGGCCAAACTATGCAGGTAATGCATACAGCTCCTGCCGGTAATTCAGAAACCCTACAGCTGGCCGTGTAAAATCCCACCATAAGCAAGGCATGCACAGCTCTCATAGAATGTCACAGCTAAAAGGAACCTGTATCATTTGAGGGACTAGAGCCAGAGAGGAGACTGATTTGCATAAAGTCATAGGGAATTCTTTCCCTTTCTCTTCTTGGTCAGTAGGTTTTTGTTTTGTTTTGTTTATTTTTCAAGAGGCAGGGTATCACCATGTTGGTTAGGCTGCTCACTTCTGACCTCAGGTGATCCACCTGCCTCTGCCTCCCAAAGTGCTGGGATTACAGGTGTGAGCCACCATGCCCAGCCTGTTTTTTTTTTTCTTTTTTTCTTTTTTTTTTATTTTCGAGACGGAGTTTCGCTCTTGTTACCCAGGCTGGAGTGCAATGGCGCGATCTCCGCTCACGGCAACCTCCGCCTCCTGGGTTCAGGCAATTCTCCTGCCTCAGCCTCCTGAGTAGCTGGGATTACAGGCACACACCACCATGCCCAGCTAATTTTTTGTATTTTTAGTAGAGATGGGGTTTCACCATGTTGACCAGGATAGTCTCGATCTCTTGACCTCGTGATCCACCTGCCTTGGCCTCCCAAAGTTCTGGGATTACAGGCTTGAGCCACCGCGCCTGGCTTTTTTTTCTTTTTTTTTAAGACAGAGTCTCACTCTGTCACTCAGGCTGATGTGCAGTAGCTCAGTCACAATTCACTGCAGCCCCAAACTCCCAGGCCAAAGCAGCTCTTCCACCTTAGCCTCCCAAGGACTTACAGATGTAAATATTTTTGTTTGTTTTTGAGATGGAGTCTCACTGTGTCACCCAGGCTGGAGTGCAGTGGCACAATCATTGCAACTCTGCCTCCCGGGTTCAAGCAATTCTCCTGCCTTAGCCTCCTGAGTAGCTGGGATTACAGGCGTGTGCCACCATGCCCAGTTATTTTAAATATTTTTGGTAGAGATGGGGGTTTCATCATGTTGGTCAGGCTGGTCTCAAACTCCTGACCTCATGATTTGCCTGCCTCAGCCTCCCAAAGTGCTGGAATTACAGGTGTGAGCCACCGTGCCCAGCCCTTTTGTTTGTTTTTTTTAGACAGAGTCTTGCTCTCTTGGCCAGACTGGAGGGCAGTGGTGCCATCTCAGCTCACTGCAACTTCAGCCTGCCAGGTGGTTGGGATTACACGCACACACCCAACTAATTTTTTTGTATTTTTATTACACACGGGGTTTTTACCATGTTGGCCAGGCTGGTCTCGAACTCCTCAAGTGATCCACCTGCCTCGGCTTCCCAAAGTGCTGAGATTACAGGCATGAGCCACTGTGCCTGGCCTTGTTTGGTTTTGTTGTAGATATAGGGTCCCACTCGTTGCCCAGGCAACTCCTGGGATCAGGTGATCTTCCTCCCTTGGCCTCCAAACTGGGAGGCTGAGATTACAGGTGTGAGCCACTGCACCCAGCCAATAGTGTATTCAAGCTGAGATGTGTTCAGTCCTTCCAGAAGCTTAGTGATTATAAGAATCCTGTTGGAATTCTGTTCCTATCCCTGAGGGGTGCTCACAGAAACTGTAGCTTAGAGAAACAACATATATGTGCAGTGTCACATGTTGAATGATTCCTGTTCAAAGATGATAACCATTGTTCATTTGTTCATTTTTTGCCTCTATTGGGAAAAGTATGCTTTTGCTTCCAATAACAATGCGGAATTTAGGTTTGTTTTAAGGAAAGAGGTTCTCATTGACCCAAATTGTAGCTAGACAGCCAGGTGCGGTGGCTCATGCCTATAATCCCAGCACTTTAGGAAGCAGAGGTGGGCAGATCACTTGAGGCCAGGAGTTCAAGACCAGCCCAGCCAACATGGCAAAACCCGTCTCTACTAAAAATACAAAAATTAGCCAGGCATGGTGACTCGTGCCTGTAATCCCAGCTACTTAGGAAGCTGAGGCATGAGAAACACTTGAACCTAGGAGGCAGAGGTTGCAGTAAACTGAAATTGAACTATACATTCCAACCTGGGCAATAGAGCAAGAGTCGATCTCAAAAAAAAAGACAAAAACAAATTTTGGCTAGACTAATGTAAACCATCTGGTTGGTAAGAGGATGAGAATTCTCCTGGAGAATCCAGTTCTTGTGTGTGTGGATCATCTTACTAGTGGTCTTGCTTAGAAATGAGTGACTTGGGCCACGCTTGGTGGCTCACACCTGTAATCCCAGCACTTTGGGAGGCAGAGGCGGGTGGATCATGAGTTCAGGAGATCGACACCATTCTGGCCAACATGATGAAACCCCATCTCTACTAAAAATAGAAGAAAATTAGCTGGGCGTGGTGGCATGTGGCTATAATCCCAGTTTTTTGGGAGGCTGAGGCAGGAGAATTGCTTGAACCAGGGAGTTGGAGGTTGCAGTGAGCCGAGATGGCACCACTGCACTCCAGCCGGCAACAGAACGAGACTCCATCTCCAAAAAACAAAAAGCTGGAAGTGGGGAAGAAATGGGTGACTTGTGGGGCCACATGCAGTGGCTCATGCCTATAATCCCAGCACTTTGAGAGGCCAAGGCAGGAGGATTACTTGAGGTCAGGTGTTCAAGACTAGCCTGGCCAACATGGTAAAATCCTGCCTCTACTAAAAATACCAAAGTTAGCTGGTCACGGTGGCACGTGCCTGTAGTCCCAGCTACTTGGGAGGCTGAGGTAGGAGAATTGCTTGAACCCTGGAGGCGGAGGTTGCAGTGAGCTGAGATCATATTGCGGCACACCAGCCTGGGCAACAGAGCCGGACTCCACCTCAAGAAAAGAAATGGGTGACTTGGATAATTGACTAAGTTTTTTAAGGCTCTCTCCAGCTCTCGTACTATGTCTGTTCACCCATCCAACACCAACAGCAGTGGGAGGAGATGACTTATTTTCTCCAGTGCTACTTAGAAATGGTAGTTTCCTCTTCCTTCCTTCAAGGACTTTCTACCCACCTGTCTAATTTAAGCACAAAGGGCAAGGCTGGCTCAGGGCTAAGTTGTCTCCTAAACTCTTTCTGAGAGTATGTAGATAACATATGTCCTAGTTTGTTCCCCATCAGGAATTCTCTTCTTGGTATCCAACAGCATTAGCAATATCAGTCTGAAAAGGAAAAACAAGTGGTGATGAGGGATGGGAAGGAAGGCAGCATCTGGGCAGGAGGAGGATGAGAGGCAATGGAACCATGGATGAAAGAAAGATATGTAGAATTGACAGCTCTGTAGTAAGTGTGGAGCTGTCTTGAGGGGGTATAACTCTCGTGAATGAGAAGTGCAGGCTGTAGTCCCAGTGACTGTGACTAGCACCCACTGATTAGGGTAATGTGTGGGCAGAAGTGTGGAAGGAGTTTTTGTGAGAGAAGCAAACAGAATGTGAGAGGGAAAGTTGTGTACCTTTTGGGGACTGTCACACTACTTTGCAGCCTAAGTCCCTGTGTAGTATTTTAAGCTCTTTTTAAAATACCATCCACTCAACTAGTTGTTTTTGAGCCTCTGGGGACAATTAAACCTTTCTATAAAATGTTTAGGGATCTTTGATGTAGAACGACAAGGACTAAGATCAAGGCTTGGTGGCCCTGGAGCAGTGCCCAGAAACCTGAACAGGAACGTAGTGACGAGTCCCTGGGGAGGAGTGCAGGTGCTTATCTGAAAGTCAGAACTCGAGTTCCAGACCTGCCTCGAAGTGACCTTAGAAAAGCACATTGCCATTTTTGAGTACAGAGAATGAAGGACAGCTTTTACCTTCTGTGGTTTTTATGAGGTTAATGAAAAATACAGGCATGCTTAATAATTACGGTTCTGATGTTGAATTTCTCTTCTCTATCTATCTCACCCTGACTCTCCTTCTTCTGGATATTGGCTTGCTTTTGAGAAATACAAATACATTTTCACTCTAGCTAAAGCTAGACCTATTCAGGGTGGTAAGGGTGTCATTTATTTTGTTTGTTTATTTTGAGATGGAGTTTTGCTCTTGTTGCCCAGGCTGGAGTGCAATGGTGCGATCTTGGCTCACTGCAACTTCCACCTCCGGGATTCAAGCGATTCTCCTGCCTCAGCCTTCCAAGTAGCTGAGATTACAGACATGTGACACCGTGCCCAGCTAATTTTTGTATTTTTAGTAGAGACGGGGTTTCTCCATGTTGGCTAGGCTGGTCTCGAACTCCTGACCTCAGGTTATCTGCCCACCTCAGCCTCCCAAAGTGCTTGGATTACAGGTGTGAGCCACTGCGCCTGGCCCAGGTATCATATTTTTAAGCAAAGGTTATTTTTACCTGCTGTTCAGGACTGCCTGTGCTGTTGGGCCTTCCTGCTCCCGTGGCTCAGAAGTTGAGCTTGCATTTTACATGGGCCTGAAGCTGCTTTCTCAAGGATTAGCCACCCAGACTTGAATCTTCCATCCCCCTTGTCTCCTTTCGCCCCTACAGGACCCTTTTGGAGAGAAGCGGGGCCACTTTGACTACCAGTCCCTCTTGATGCGCCTGGGACTGATTCGTCAGAAAGTGCTAGAAAGGCTCCATAATGAGAACGCAGAAATGGACTCTGATAGCAGCTCATCTGGGACAGAGACAGACCTTCATGGGAGCCTGAGGGTTTAAACCCTGTTCCCCTCTTCCCTTTCCCCCACTCGAGAGTCCCAGCAGAATCCCTTCCCCCAACCCCAGGGATGGAGAGGCACTGTGTATCTCCCTCCAGACTCGAAGTCATCCTGCAAGATGGCAAGAACCAAACAAGCTCGGATCCCAGGGTGTGGGAGTGGGGGCCTGTTCCTGGTCTGACCTCCTTGGCACTGGAGCATCTGGGGCTTGGTTCATCCGTTCATCCCATATCGGGGCCAAGGTACCTTTACAGGAGCACCTAGTGGAAGGGCCTCTGGCAAAAACGAAACAACCAACACACCTCTCCACAGGACCAGCTCCTTAGGTATAGGTGGAAGACGGAAATTGCAGTTCCAAGAGGGAGTGTGCCCAAATGATTTATGGGGATACCTGGAAGGGAACTTGGGGTGGGGGACTGTCTGTGACACTTAAGCAGTCTGGGTGGTTGTCTGTTTGTCTGTCTTCAGTCTTGAAGCAGGGCTTCCCAATGCCCTTTTCCTCCTTGCTTCCCTTCCCCCATTATTTCCCACAGGCCAGCATAATTTTGTTTTTCCTAATTTATAGTCACTGTTCTAGACAGACCAAAGAGAAGGAACAGTGGTGGAGTCTAGGCTGCTGATCAGTAAGCTTTACCTGGCACCTGAGCACCTTTCTCCCCTGGCCCCTTTCCTCACCCTTTCTAGATGTAAGACAAGAGGTAAATGTGACTGGGACTGAACCAAGGTCTTGGTAAAGCCTGCACAGGCACCGTAAGAAGCTGAAAATACTGTTTGTTCCCACAATCACTGATTTGAAAAGTTCCCGGCACAGGCAGCTGCTGTGTATATGGGATTAGAGCCACTACATAGAATAGTCTCTTACAGATTTTCATAAATACTAGTCACAATAAGGGTATTTCTCTTGGGGGTGGAGTACAGAGAGAGACGGATGCTAGTCCTTATCGTATTTTGTTGGGCTGTCCTTGTGTATTTTCACCCCAGCCTGTAGTTGTCCTCCTCAACCCCAGGGATTTGTGGGGAGCAAGGGTAGCCAATGCAGAGGGGATTGGGGCTGGACTCTGGAGGCTCCTCCCCTTCTTTCTCCTCCACCACCCCCAGCCCATTCCCCCAGCTGCTCTTGTCACTGGCTCTGATGGGTGTTTGCCTGGCTGTGTTGCTTCTCTATCTGTATTTAGCTGCAGTGATCCTTTAGCTGGTTGGCTCAGAAAAAATGTGCTTTAGGTGCCCTGTAATCCTGGGCATCAAGGGAATCATCCTTCCCCTTTTTGATATGTTCTCCCCATACTTCCAGATTTATTGTTACGGATCCCAGTGGGGTATTGGCAGTTCTTATGATGCAGGGCCTCGGTCAGGGTCCAGCCATGCATAAGGGAGAGGATTGTATGTACCTGCCCTGCCCACTGCTATAAAGTCTCTGCCTTGTGGATCATGGGACTCCTCTTGGAGGATCTGGGTTGGGCAGAAAGGAGAATGTCCTTGGGAGGGCAGGAAGAAAAGGAACTGGACAGGGATTGATGGGCTTGGGGAACGGAAGTTTACCTTGGAAACCCTTCATTTGAGAGGCTGGGTCTCACATGAAGATTCAAAAGGGACCCTGCTTCCAATTTCCCTCTTCCATTCCTCGAGTGACTCCAGGGCTTAGAAGAATGCCCTTGGTCTGTGGGTCCAGTGTTGTCTGTCATCCATTTGTGTGTTCCCACTTTCAAGTGACAATCCTCTCCTTGGCCCTGCCGTAGGGCAGAGCATGTCTGGCATAGCAGCCTGACTTTTATGCCCTAATCTTGAGTTGAGGAAATATATGCACAGGAGTCAAAGAGATGTCTTTATATCTGACTGTACATAAATGAAGTTTTTTTTTTTTTTCTTTTTGGTGCAATAAAATTTGTTTTGGCAGAAGAGGAAGTGCCTGTGGGTGTGGGTGGGTTTGTGTAAAGGAGGAATGGTATCATCTTGTCAGCCACACCTCACCTAGGTCTGGAACTGTTAGGGAGAAGGAAAGTGCTGTGAATTGTCTGAGGCCAAGGACTTGCATAACATGATGGAAGGGCAGGGCTGGGTGGGGAGAGCAGGACAAATCTCATTGGAGGTGGGTCCATTTTTTAAGGCTCTGGCAGTCAGTGACATCTTAAGTTTCAGTAGCATCCAAAGAACTATTCCAGAGCTTGGGAGAGAGGGAATGTCCTATAAGGACAGGCAGAGGTAGAGCTGGGTCCAGATATATCCTGCTAAAGGAAGGGTGTCAGTATGGAGAAACCACTGGGTTTTTAGAGTTCCAGTACTAAACTAGCATTTAGGATCTTCGCTTTTAGACCATAAGGGGTTTAGAAGCCTTAAGCTACTCTGGCCTCTTCCCTCATCAACACTTCCACTTGCTATAGGAGATTCTTGCTTTCTGGGGTAGAGGCTTTTCCTCTTGGCTGACCATGTGTGTAGAAAGAAATGTCTGCACAGTATGTGCTGCCATTCTGTACTGTGCAGTGGTACATGAAGGCGTGGGCTTGGGTTAATAGGCCTAGGCTCCAGCTTTGGCTCAGCTGAAGCTGGCAGCGCCTAGCAAATTACTTTCGATTCAATCACCTGTGATGTTGAAGTCTGCCTACTTGGTAAAATTTAAGTGAGCTGTATATAAAATGGCACAGGGTAGGCATTCGATAAATGATTCCCTTTCCCATCACTGAGGCTAGACCTGGTAATCAGTATAGGAAGGTGAGAAGGCTAGTAGAGAATTTGAGAAAATAGAACATTCCTTAACTCGTTTGATTCCCCTCAGATTCCATTGTTTTCTTTCCTCCAAATTAGCCACAATTGAACATTGACTTCTAGTTCCTTCACACTCACACACACCTGAGTTTGTCATAACCTAGAGCCTCTACAGAGGAAGCCAGAAGAGACAGAGTGAATTACTTACTCGTCCATTAGGATCAGCTAGTTTGAGATAAGGAATATTTTATTAAAAAGGTTTAAATTAGCAGAGGCTATAATTTATGTCTCACAGCTACACCTAGAAAGGCCAAGAAACGCCTGCATTCTAGGGCCAGCTCTTCCATGAACTTGCAGATGACCTGCACAAATCATTTTATATGTGCTAGCTGTTCTCTGTTAATCAGATTACCCTTACTGGATGTGCGAGGTTTTTTTCCAATAAAGATGCAATGTGAAGGCACTTTTCAAAAATAAAAAAATGGGAGAAGTAAGAAAAACTTGGAACTTTTTCTATTTTTTTTATAAACAAAACTGCCCAGGTTTATTCGCCAGTAGGCCCTCCTTCCTTCTCCCGGCCTGTTGCTGTGTGCCCTTCCACACAGTCAGGGAAGGGCTTCTCTGGCCTCCTCAGCTGTAATCTCCTGGGAGTAGAGGTCAGTGAAGAGAGCTGGCAGCCAGTAGTGGGCCTCTCCTGGTGCCTGCAAGTCCAGCCACGCCAGCCCTTCCTTCAGCAGGTGTTCCTGAAGAGAAAAAGGAACAGTTTGAGAACAGTGAGGTCCCATAGATGAAGGGTAAGTAAGCAACCCCAAACCTATTTTGGCTTCAGTGAGGTTTTCAAACTAAATCTAAGTGCCTTCAAACATTTACACACCAACTAAATGAGCTGTTTGGCCCTGTCCTTTACCTGAATGTGAAAAATGCTACTAAGTCATCTAACGTGCTGCTGAGGAAGAGGGGTAAAGCCTAGCATAGTGGGATATAGTGGAAAGAACACATGGCTACAGAAATATTTGCTGTATGGCCTTGAGCAAATCACTGCCTCCATTTTCCCAGAAACAATACAGAGATCACTGTTTAGCTACCTTTCAGTTAACTTATACTGTGTAGCAGACATGATTGATTGACCATACTTATGCAAGAATAGATTCAGTTTCTAGAGCTGGAAATGTGCTCAAAATGGGTTGGTTCTCTCCAGTATAGGTAGGTAGATAATTACATTATCCCCATTTTACAGATGAAAGGTTTAGACAGTGGAATTGCTTGGATAAGGAAAAGGTAGGGCTGGACGTGGTGGCTCACGCCTGTAATCCTAGCACTTTGGGAGGCCGAGGTGGGTGGATCACCTGAGGTCAGGAGTTCAAGACCAGCCTGGCCATCATGGTGAAACCCCATCTTTAAAAAAAGGAAAAAGGGTACTGAAGCTGGAGTTCTTATGTTACTCCCTCTTCACGTCATTCATTCTTCAGTACCATGAAATTTGTATATATAAAGCTATAGAGTATATTCTATGCAATATAATGCTAAGTGGATAATTACATAATTAACATAAGTAGTTAATAATTCCCATCACTGTATTAACAGTGTTACTTCCAGTACAAACTACATTAATCTGACCAGCAGCTCCAGGCTCAGCATGTTCAGGGGAGAGAGTGGGTGTCGGTTCCCCAATTAGCAGGGGTAGCCCGGTATTGTGTGCAGGCCAGAGTAAGGAACCTGCCTTCCTGAGTTCTGCCTTCTTGGTGCCATCTTCAGAAAAGCTGGACTTCCTTCCAGCATGGCAGCAGTAGCCTTCAAGGCAGAAGGCCAGCAAAGCAAGGCTGAAGCTCCTGCCTTTGTGAAACCCACATCCTCCTAACTGGGGCCTGCCTTTGTGGAACGCACATCCTCCCAACTTGGGCCTGTCTTTTTCTGGGCGATTCCAAAGTCGCATACCAGCACTTGGCGCGCTCGCTCGGTCTCCCATTTAAGACTGGCTTTGATCTCACTGACAGTCACGTAGCCATTTTTCTGAAGAAAGGAGGAATGGGGATTCAATCAGTTAAGAGTACACCTTCCCTTAGAACCCAGCATCTGCCCAGGAACAATACTTATGCAGACAGGAGGAAAAGCTGTCAAGCCTGAGAGAACAAAGAAAATGTTTAAAGATTCCAGTGAAGAGAGAGGTGACTTTCAGCATAACAAAGGTAGGTTGGTGGGTTCAATCTTAAAAGTGGGGTCCTGGCCGGGCATGATGGCTCATGCCTGTAATCCTAGCACTTTGGGAGACCGAGGTGGGTGGATCATCTGAGGTCAGGAGTTCGAGACCAGCCTGGCCAACATGGTGAAACCCCATCTCTACTAAAAATACAAATGCCTGTAATCACAGCTCCCCGGGAGGCTGAGGCAAGAGAATCGCTGGAACATGGGAGGTGGAGGCTGCGGTGACCCGGAGATGACGCCACTGCACTCCCCGCTGGGCAACAGAGCGAGACTCCATCTCAGAAAAAAAAAAGTAGAATCACTTGTAGTAACATATTAAGTCAGGCTTCTGCAAAGAAGTCTAGATCATGAAAAGGGAAGATTCTGAACAAATGGCTGATAGGAAGAAATGGTGATAGTCATAAACTGCTAATAATCTCTATTATTTGAATATTCAGCCCTTGCCCTGCCTTATACTACCCATCCCCCAATACAGACAGAAAAGCCCCTTCCTTATTTAGTTTTGTTTTATATTAAGAAAACTGGGCAGGGTACAGTGGCTCATGCCTATAATCCCAGCACTTTGGGAGGCTGAAGCAGGTGGATCACCTGAGGTCAGGAGTTCAAGACCAGCCTGACCAACATGGAAAAGTCCCGTCTCTACTAAAAACACAAAATTAGCTGGGCATGTGGCATGCTCTTGTAATCCTAGCTACTCAGGAGGCTAAGGCAGGAGAATCACTTGACCGTGGGAGGCAGAGTTTGCAGTGAGCCGAGATCGCGCCACTGCACTCCAGCCTGGGCAACGAGAGTGAAATTCAGTCTCAAATAAATAAATAAATAAACCTGAATATGTCTACCCTAAATACCTGATGGGGATTTGGGGGAAGACAGCATATGCTTAAGGCATGCTGACAGATGGGGGCATGTCAAACAAGATTTTTTAAAATCTGTTTTTGAAGAATCTGTAAAGTAGTTTCAGAAGACATTCAAGTCTGGCTACCCAAAGAAATCTAGTTAGTTGTCTTCATGTCTGTCTGCCTGACTAGACTGTAAGCTCCTTGAGGGCAGGAATTACATCATACCCATCTTTATATGCCCCACAGCCTGGCCCAGTGCTTTGCACTGTAGCTGCTCAATAAATGTCTGTTGAACAAGCACAGGCCTGAGTAGTTCATCCATTAGATAGCCTCAGCAAAAGACCTGCATTAACAGGGAGCAGGAGCTCAGAACTGCTCCAGACTCGCATCCCAGACAGTCCCTTGCACACACACACTCAGAAGGTGCACCAGTACCTCTGCCAGCTGCAGCACCACTGTGTGATCCATATTGAGCTCAGCTGGAACAGACTGAATGAGGTAAGTGCCGCCCACAGGGATGATGCAGAAGCCAGTCCCAAGTGCCTTTAGTTTCTTGATGGCCCTGATCAGGTCGTCTCTGAGGTGAGGAAGAGTTGCTTAAAGACCCTTGACAGATCAGATCTAATTACACAGTTTCAGCTCTGCCCTGGGCAGGATACTGACAGAAGATTTAAAAGACTGCACAACTGACATACTGTGGCTCATACCCATAATCCCAACACTTCGGGATGCCCACGTGAGAGGACTGCTTAAGCCCAGGGGTTAGACACCAGCCTGGGCAACACAGCAAGACCTTGTCTTTACTAGAAAAAAAAAAAATCAGGGCATGGTGGCAATCGCCTATAGTCCTTGGGAGGCTGAGGTGGGAGGATCACTTGAGCTCAGGAGTTCAAGGCTGCAGTAAGCTATGATTGTGCACCACTGTATTCCAGCCTGGGTGACAGAGCAAGACCCTGCCTCTAAAATAATGAAAGGCTGCACCACACTCAACTACATCAGTAAAAAGACAGGGTCGGGGCTGGGCGCGGTGGCTCAAGCCTGTAATCCCAGCACTTTGGGAGGCCGAGGTGGGTGGATCACGAGGTCAACAGATCGAGACCATCCTGGTCGACATGATGAAACCCCATCTCTACTAAAAAATACAAAAAATTAGCTGGGCATGGTGGCGCATGCCTGTAATCCCAGCTACTCAGGAGGCTGAGGCAGGAGAATTGCCTGAACCCAGGAGGCAGAGGTTGCGGTGAGCCGAGATCGCGCCATTGCACTCCAGCCTGGGTAACAAGAGCGAAACTCCGTCTCAAAAAAAAAAAAAAAAAAAAAGACAGGGTCAAGGAGCAATAAGTGATGCTTGGGCAATTAAGGGAGATATACAGGAGTCAGGTTTTCCACTCAACAAACCACTCATTCCAACACCCAGACAGAGGTCAAAGATACCTGCAGAAGCCCATCAGGAAATGTGAGTGAGTGAGCTAAAGAGGCAATGGGGTAGTGTGACCTGTGGCAAACTAGAGAATGCTTATCTTTTTTAAAGGGGGCAACGCAGCTGATTATCACCATCTGGAAATTCAGGCCCAATACTGCCAAGTTTTCTGATTCTAACTGAAATCAGAGAAAAAGAAAACCTACAAAACAGTGTGTAGATCACAAATCCAGCCCACACACAGAGTTTAAAACCTCTGCCAAAGCTCAAAAATATATCACCCAAACAACAAGGAAAAGGGCACTTTTAGGTAGATTGGAATGCATTCTCCAGCCTCCAAAAATAGCAAACTGAAATGCTTCAAATGCTTACCCTCTTCCTGAGAATAATTTGCAATGAGTATGGCTAGTAATCTTTTGTTATCACTTTTCTTTTTTTAAGAGATGAGGTCTCGGCTGGGCAAGGTGGCTCACACCTGTAATCCCAGCACTTTGGGAGGCCAAGAGTTCGAGACCAGCCTGGCCAACATGGTGAAACCCCATCTCTACTAAAAATACAAGAACTAGCAGGGCATGGTGGCAGGTACTTGTAATCCCAGCTACTTGGGAGGCTGAGGCAGGAGAATCACTTGAACCCAGGAGACAGAGGTTGTAGTGAGCCAAAATCATGCCACTGCACTCCAGCCTGGGCGACAGAGCAAGACTCAGTCTCAAAAAAAAAAAAAAAAAGAAGTAGAGATCTTGCTGTATCCCAGGCTGGAGTGCAGTGGTGCAATCATAGTTCACCACAGCCTAGAACTATGAGTGCACGCCTCAACAGATCCTCCCACCTCAGCCTCCCAAAGGGCTGGAACTACAGGTGTAAGCTGCTGTACCCAGCTTCATTATTTTTCTTTGAATATTCTAGTCTTTATGATCTCATAGAAGGCTGACTCCTTCGAAGTTACATCAAAAACAGCTTTTTATCTTTTCTCAAACTGGACTGACATACAGAGGCTGGCGAACTAGATCAATTTATATTCCATCATCTCACCACCTCCTCCTTCCCCAACCTTTCTAGGCACCTACTCTAGTCTCCTTGGCCTCAAATCTCAAGACTACATGCAGCTGTAGCCAGGCATGGTAACTCACACCTGTAATCCCACACTTTGGGAGGCCAAGGCGGGCAGATCACTTAAGGCCAGTTCAAAACAGCCTGGCCAACATGGTGAAACCCCATCTCTACTAAAGAAACAAAAATTAGCTGGGCGTGGTGGCGCATGCCTGTAATCACAGTTACTGCAGAGGCTGACGCACGAGAATGGCTCGAACCTGAAAGGCAGAGTTTGCAGTGAGCTGAGAGCAGGTCACTGCACTCCAGCCTGGGCAACAGCGAGAGACTGTCTCAAAAAAAAAAAAAAAGACTATATATAGCCCCAAGTTCGTTAAAAAATAATACATTAAAAAAATGCTTAGTCAGTTCGGATCCAAGTCACTGCACCAAAAGAAAAGAAGAAGAAAAAAAAAGAAAAAATGCTTAGAAGGAACTATATTAAAATGTACAGCAGTTGCAGTCTCTTAGTAAAAAAATAATGGATGGTTTTTCTTTTTTATAGCTCTATATTTTCTGTCTTCTAAAAACAGCCAGGCATACTAGCTAGTCCATGCCTATAATCCCAGATACTTGGGAGGCTGAGATGGGAGGATTACTTGAGCCCAAGAGTTTGAAGCTGCAGTAAGCTACAATCACGGTAGCAGTAAGCTATGATCGGGCCACTGTACTCTAGCCTGGTCAACAGTGAGACCCTGCCTCTTAAACATATATATATTTTTTTGTTTGGTTTTTTTTTTTTTTTTTTTCTTTGAGACGGAGTCTCACTCTGTCACCAGGCTGGAGTGTAGTGGCACAATCTCAACTCACTGCAACCTCCATCTCCCAGGTTCAAGCAATTCTCCTGCCTCAGCCTCCCCAGTAGCTGTGACTACAGGCATGCGCCACCATGCCCAATTGATTTTTTTTTTTTTAGTTTTTAGTAGAGATGGGGTTTCACCATGTTGGCCAGGATGGTCTTGATTTCTTGACCTCGTGATCCATCTGCCTCAGCCTCCCTAAGTGCTGGGATTACAGGCGTAAACCACCGCACCCAGGCTGTTTTTTTCTTTTTCTGTATGATACGGAGACCATACAGATTTCTAAGCTAGGTTAGACATGAGGAATAGGGAGAAAAGAGTTACATCTGAATTATAAAGACCTCTTTCTATACTCCAAGGGATGGGAAGACAAGACCTACTGACTGACATCCTGGGCGAACTTGCCCCTTCCCTTCAACACCTGTTGATGTAGTTCCTCCAGAGTTATCAGACCTATTGGAGATGGGGAACAGAAATCAGAGATTACCCACTTTAAATAAGTGGACAGTCATTACATTCTAGTGGCCTACGACTAGCAAATAACATTGTAGTTCCTAATTTTTTTTAACTCTTTCCTTATAACTGGCCATAATATAATAAATGGATTCTGAGACCTTGCTAGGCCTGTCAAGAGTGAGAGTTATAGAAATCTAAAAGCAAAAGCAGTATGATCTTTGAAAAACTATAAATGTCCTCTTGACAGCAAGGCCGTGTCTATTTATAGTCAATGACTTATAAGTGGTTTTAAGTTTTCTTTCTGTAACTTCAATCCACACCATTTAATGTGCTTATAAGAAAGATGGTATCACCAGATGACCATTTTTAATTTTAGGGAACACAGAGACTCAGCTGCATTCCCATATGTCAGAGAGGCAGTGCAGGCCTATAGTTACTAATGAGAAAATCACTCCAGACACATCAGACATCAGGGGGAAAGGCCTATTTCCTACCTCCCTACTATTTTCTGTACAGACTAGAGACTAGACCTTCCTGGCCAAAGATCTTTGGAAAACACACACAATCATTCAGGTAATTCTATTTACCCTTGGCCATGGAGACTTGCCATGGATTCAACTGCATGAAACAGCTAAGATGTTTCTCAAGTCCTTAGAGGCCTGTAGACTGCAGGATGGAAACGATAATCTTTTATGGTTTTCTCCCTCTCAGAGAAGTCCCAGAGTCCAGTTCACAGGACCTAGCCACCCTCACCTCCATTCCGATGCTTCAGCGCCAGGCACACTTCGATAATTTGGACACCTAGTTCATAATAGAAGTCCCCCACGCCCAGCATCTCAGACCAAAATCCTTTTCCAGCTACAAGACAGAAAAACAAACTCTTGGTTATTGATTAATTTACATCCCTTCTCTTCTTTCAAAGCTAGTTTAAAACATCTATCATATGGGAAGTCTTCCCTGCATGCCCTGAAGTTCTTCTGCTCCATCTGCTACTCAGAAAACAATCAGACTCGGCTGGGTGCAGTGGCTCACGCCTGTAATCCCAGCACTTTTTTTTTTTTTTTTTTTTTTTAGACGGGAGTTTCGCTCTTGTTACCCAGGCTGGAGTGCAATGGCGTGATCTTGGCTCACCCCAACCTCCGCTTCCTGGGTTCAGGCAATTCTCCTGCCTCAGCCTCCTGAGTAGCTGGGATTACAGGCAAGCGTCACCATGCCCAGCTAATTTTTTGTATTTTAAATGGAGACGGGGTTTCACCATGTTGACCAGGATGGTCTCAATCTCTTGACCTCGTGATCCACCCGCCTTGGCCTCCCAAAGTGCTGGGATTACAGGCATGAGCCACCGTGCCCAGCCAATCCCAGCACTTTGGGAGGCCAAGGCAAGCGGATCATGAGGTCAAGAGATCGAGACCATCCAACATGGTGAAATCCCGTTTCTACTGAAAATACAAAAATTATTTGGGCATGTTGGTGCACGCCTATGGTCCCAGCTACTCAGGAGGCTGAGGCAGGAGAATTGCTTGAACCCGGAAGGTGGAGGTTGCAGTGAGCGGAGATTGTGCCACTCTACTCCAGCCTGAGTGACAGAATGAGACTCCATATCAAAAAAAAAAAAACAAAAAACAAAAAACAATCAGACTCATGGTTAACTCTTGCTGAAGAACAGGGTCAGACAATTACAGAGGGTGGGCAATCTAAAAGTCATTTCTGGCCGGGCGTGATGGCTCACACCTGTAATCCCCAGGACTTTGGGAGGCCGAAGCGGCCAGGTCACTTGAGACCAAGAGTTCAAGACTAGCCTGGCCAACATGACAAAACCCCATCTCTACTAAAAATACAAAAAATCAGCCAGGACTGGTGGTGCATGCCTGTAATCCCAGCTACTCAGGAGGGTGAGGCAGGAGAATCACTGGAACCCAAGAGGCAGAGGTTGCAGTGAGCCAAGATCATGCTACCATACTCCAGCCTGGGCAACAAGAACGCAACACTGTCTCAAAAAAAATAAACAAAGTAAAACAAAAGTCATTCCTACTTGGCTAGTTCTGGCTCAGGAAACTGAAAAAATCAAAGCATCTAGTGAAATACAATGGAAAATATGGTCTAGACAAGACTAAGAGAAAGAATATGCAGATTTGGCATTTAAAAATCCACTGAATGGTCTGCAAGCTACCAGGAGTGTAGAAATAAATAACCCACTAAAGACAATATTCTATTCAGTGAAAAAATGCAGGCAGGGCGCAGTGGCTCACGCAGGAGCTCAAGACCAGCCTGACCAACATGGAGAAACCCATATTTACTAAAAATACAAAATTAGCCGGGCATGGTGGCAGGCACCTGTAATCCTAGCTACTCAAGAGTCCGAGGGAGGAGAATCACTTGAACCCGGGTAGTGAAGCTTGTAGTGAGCTGAGATCTTGCCACTGCACTCTAGCCTGGGCACCAAAAGCTATACTCCATCCCCCCCACCAAAAAAAGATAGGAAAAATGCAAGTTGTAGATTAGTGGTAATTATATTATAATCCCATATATGTTTAAAAAGTTGGGGACAGGCACAGTGGTTCATGCCTCTACTTCCAGCACCACTTGGGAGGTTGAGACAGGAAAATAACTTGAACCCCAGAGTTGAGGGCTGCAGTGGGCTGATTGCACCAATGCACCCCAGCCTGGATGACAGACATCTCAACACTAAAAGATAATAAATTAGTAATTTTTTTTTTTTGAGATGAACTCTCGCTCTGTCACCCAGGCTGGAGTGCAATGGCACGATCTTGGTTCACTGCAACCTCCGCCTCCTGGGTTCAAGCAATTCTCCTGCCCAAGCCTCCCTAGTGGCTGGGATTACATGCCCATGCCACCATGGGCATGTAAGTTTTTGTATTTTTAGTAGAGACGGGGGGGGGGTTCACTGTGTCAGCCAGGATGGTCCTGATCTCCTGACCTCATGATCCACCCACCTTGGCCTCCCAAAGCGCTGGGATTACAGGTGTGAGCCACTGTACCTGGCCAATAATATTTTTCAAAGTTTATAATTATGAGGGCTCAGTGCAGTGGCTCACGCCTATAATCCCAGCACTTTGGGAGGACAAGAAAGGCCAATCACTTGAACCCAAAAGTTCGAGACCAAACTGGGCAACGCGGTGAAACCGCCTCTCTACAAAAAATATAAAAATTAGCCAGGTGTGGTGGTACAGGCCTGTAATCCCAGCTACTTGAAAGGCTGAGAGACGAGAATTGCTTAAACCCAGGAGACGGAGGTTGCAATGAGCCAAGATGGCGCTGCTGCACTCCAGCCTGGGCGAGAGTCTTGCTGCAGCCTTGACTTCCCAGGCTCAAGCAATCCTCTGACCTCAGGCTCCTAAGTAGCTGGATCATAGACACATGCCACCACACCTGGAAATTTTTTTTTTTTTTTTTTGAGATGGAGTTTCGCTCTTGTTACTCAGGCTGGAGTGCAATGGCACGATCTCGGCTCACCACAACCTCCGCCTTCTGGGTTCAAGCAATTCTCCTGCCTCAGCCTCCCAAGTAGCTGGGACTACAGGTGTGCACCACCATGCCCAGCTAATTTTTGTATTTTTAGTAGAGACGGGGTTTCACCTCGTTGACCAGGATGGTCTCGATCTCTTGACCTCGTGATCCACCTGCCTCAGCCTCCCAAAGTGCTGGGATTATAGGCATGAATCACTGCACCTGGCCAAAATTAAACATTTTTTAAAAAAGAGAGAAAATGCCATAAAAAATTCTACTGTAGATCATTCAAGGAAACATCATGGACAACGGGAACTCAGTGTATAGTCAGTCTATCTTCCCTATCAGACTAGGAAGTAGCCATTCTGCCAGGCACTGCCCTCTGGGTCTTCCTGCAGTCCTTTCTAGTGGATGCCAAATAGTGGTGACAACAACTCTATGAGCTTCTGTCCCTCAGGTACTCTGTAAGAACACTGGACCCCTACAGACAGCTTCTTACAGGCCAGAGGATCCACGCCAATGGTTGCACACATGTCCTGGAACTGCACGCGGAACTCAGGATTCTTCCGGATCTCCTGCTTGTGCTTGCTAGCAAATTCTTCCAGGTTTGTCTTGAACATGTCCAACTGCTTTGACATCTGTTGGATAGACAGGGAGTGGTTAAGGGCAGCCCAGCCAGATGATAATCAGATGCCAAAAATAGGTCCCTATCCCTGTGGCACGGCAATGGCTGAAATAATCAGTCTCCCTCAGCCTACCATTATGCTGTTCACCATCTCTCTCTCTTTTTATCCCTGCCTCTCCTTCACAGTTCTATTGTCAGCAGAAATGGGATGCTGTACTGTTTTCTCACTTTCAAAATATACATTATTAATTTGAAGGTGTACCTAATAATTCATTTTATCTTAGAAATGAGGAAATGCAGTGTTCACCCATTAGAAAATCTTTACCCCCTGACAAAAAGGCTGGATGGGAAAAAAATGAAGTGTAGCATGAATCTGTTTAACCTTTTGGGTCTGGCCGGGAATGGAGGCTCATGCCTATAATCCCCACAATGGATCACTTGACCCCAGGAGTTCCAGATCAGCCTGGGCAACATAGCAAGACTCTACCTCAATCAATCAATATATGTTATTTTATTTCATTTTTTTGAGACAGAGTTTCACTTTGTTGCCCAGACTGGAGTGCACTGGCCTGATCTCAGCTCACTGCAACCTTCGCCTCCCAGTTCAAGTGATTCTCTTGCCTCAGCCTCCCAAGTAGCTGGGACTACAGGCAGGCACCACCACACCTGGCTAATTTTTGTATTTTTTAGTAGAGACAGTGTTTCATTATATTGGCCAGGATGGTCTCGAATTCCTGACCTCAAGCAATTTATCTACCTCGACCTCTCAAAGTGCTGGGATTACGGATGTTAGCCATCAGGCAGGGCCAATCAATCAATCAATCTAAATTTCTAAAAAAACTGCTTGCTTTGGCAGTACATATATTAAAAACTGCTCTGGGACTGTAATTTGCCAGACCGCATTTTATACTAAATACAAAATACTTGGGGATTTTCTTTGTATTACTCCTTTTTTTTTTCCTAATTAACAAAGCCCATCTTCTATCCCACCAAGAGTAAGTACTTCTGGCCCAATATTTATTTCACATAAAACTATTAGAAACCTCCTCCATCCTTTTTTTTTGGGAGATGGGGTCTCACTCCCAGGCTGGAATGCAGTGGCGCAATCCCGGCTCACTGCAACCTCCGCCTCCTGAGTTAAAGCGATTCTCCTGCCTTAGCCTTCTGAGTAGCTGGGATAACAGGCGCACACCACACCGGGCTGATTTTTCTATTTTTAGTAGAGACAGGGTTTCACTATGTTGTTCAGGCTGGTCCTGAACTCCTGACCTCATGATCCTCCTGCCTCGGACTTCTGAAATGCTGGGATTACAGGCATGAGCCACTATGGGGGCAGCAACTTCCACATTCTTTTAATCACCATTTTCAGTTAATTCCTGCATGCCATCTTCCCTGTAAGTGTGAGCTTTTGAAGAACACAGCCTGGGTCTACTATTTTTTCTCAGCTCACAGGCCCATTTTCCTGCTTGATGGCCTCCTCCACTTCTTCCCCAATCTCAGTAACTGGGTAAACTCTGAGCATGTGAAAAGGGGAGGGTTGGAAAATAAAACTGCACAGGAGTTGCACCCCCCATCACTCACACTCTCTCCTGGTGTGTGCCTAGATACCATCATGGTGGTGTGGGTGCCACAGATTAGGCAATACTTTCATTTTATTCTGAGGTATTTAAAATGAAAAGCCCCAGAGGACCTAAATCAGTAACAGCTCTACCATTTACTACCCATGTAACCTTAGATATATTACTGAATACCCCAGTGTCCTCAATTTCTTTCTTTCCTTTTTTTTTTGAGATGGGAGTTGTGCTCTTGTTGCCCAGGCTGTCTAATGGCATGATCTCAGCTCACTGAAACCTCCATCTGCCAACTTCAAGCAATTCTCCTGCCTCAGCCTCGAAAGTAGCTGGGATTACAGGCATGAGCCACCATACCCAGCTAATTATGTATTTTTAGGTGAGATGGGGTTTCTTCATGTTGGTCAGGCTGGTCTCAAACTCCTGATCTCAGGTGATCCGCCCACCTTGGCCTCCCAAAGTACTGGAAATACAGGTGTGAGCCACCTCACCTGGCTGCCTTTTTTTTTTTTTTTTGAGATGGAGTCTTGCTCTGTCTCCCAAGCTGGAGTGCAGTGGCATGATCCCAGCTCACTACAACCCCCACCTCCAAGGTTCATGCAATTCTCCTGCCTCAGCCTCCCGAGTAGCTGGGACTACAGGTGCCCACCACCACGCCGGCTAATTTTTTATTTTTAGTAGAGATGGGGCTTCATTATGTTGGCCAGGCTGATCTCGAACTCCTGACCTCCAGTGATCCACCCTCCTCAGCTTCCTAAAGTGCTGGGATTACAGGCATAAGCTACCAAGCCCGGCTCTCAGTTTTAAACTCAGAATACAGCTGCACATGATGGCTCACGCCTGTAATCCCAGCACTTTGGGAGGCCGAGGTGGGTGGATCACCTGAGGTCAGGAGTTCGAGACCAGCCTGACCAAGATGGAGAAACCCTGCCTCTACAAGAAAAAAAATATACAAAAATTAGGGCCGGGCACGGTGGCTCACACCTGTAATTCCAGCACTTTGGGAGGCCGAGGTGGGTGGATCACGAGGTCAGGATATCGAGACCAGCCTGACAACAGGGTGAAACCCCATCTCTACTAAAAATATAAAAATTAGCCGGGCCTGGTGGTGCACACCTGTAATCCCATCTACTCAGGAGGCTAATGTTAGAGAATCGCTTGAACCTGGGAGGCGGAGGTTACAATAAGCTGGGATTGCGCCATTGCACTCCATCCTGGGCAACAAAAGCGGAAACTCTCCCCCCACAGGAAAAAAAAAAAAAAAAAAGAGCCAGGTGCGGGGTGCGTGCCTGCAGTTCCAGCTACTTGGGAGGCTGAGGTGGGAGGATCGCTTGAGCCCAGGAGTTCTGGGCTGTAGTGCGCTATGCCGATCAGGTGTCTGCACTGATTTCGGCATCAATATGGTGACCTCCCGGAAGCAGGGCACCACCAGGTTGCCTTAGGAGTGAACCGGCCGAGGTCGTTAAGCGAGCAGGTCAAAAATCCCGTGCTGTTCAGTAGTGGGATCGCCCCTGTGAACAGCCACTGCACTCCAGCCTGGGCAACACACCGAGACCCCGTCTCTTAAAAAGAAAAATCAGCTGGACGTGGCTGAGCCTGGCTGTAATCCCAGCTATTTAGGAGGCTGAGGCACGAGAATCGCTTGAACCAGGGAGGAGGAGGGGCTGCAGTGAGCCGAGATCACGCCACTGCACGCCAACCTGGGTGTCAGAGACTCACTCTCAAATAAAAAATAAAAAATAAACCTCAGAATAATACTGTTCCTTCCTTATGGGATTGTAATGAGGATTGAACAAGACAATCTATGTAAAGAAAATAGACAAATGCCTGGGACGTTACAAGCACGTAATCAAAGATGTTAATCATTATTGTTATTAGCAAGTCACCTAAAGGATCTCAGCAGCTCAGGAATCCAAATTTGCCAAATACCCTATTTCTAGTTCAATCTACACAATCAGGTTTATATTAAAGGTGTCTTGTCCAGCCCTGTTTCATCTCCCTTTCTGCCTGGAGTCCCCCAACCGACTCACCTGGGCTAGTTGGTCCTCGGCCAAGACCGTCCCTCGCTCCTTATACTTGGCCTGTCAGACAAAGAGACCAGCATGAGTTAAGAGAGTGGGCGCTGGGATCCCCCACTTGTGTTGCCACAGATTTAGGATGAAAAGAGGAGGGTCTCTCTTAAATGGTTTTCTTAGGGAGAAGGATAAGGTTCAAGGAGTAGAATCGACGACTGTAGATTTGGGAGTAGAATCCCATTTGTAGGTAAACTTGGAGAAGTGGGAGAAAAGGCTAGGCATCTGGGAACGCTGCCAATCCACCGGCAACTGGAGAAATTCAGTGTCCCAGGGCCGAGAAGCCCTTCTTAGATTCTGCTGGAAGGTGATTCACGGGTGGGGCTCTGCTCCAGGAGAATCCAATCTCTCACGGGTCAGGGGCAGGTTGTGGATAGGCCTTCTTCCGGCTCACCTCTGCAAGTTTTTTCTTGGCGATGGCGCCAGCTCCCACCCCGCGGCGGTGCATCCCCGCCTTGGGCCCGCCGCCGCCCAGCTGCCCGGGCCCCAGGTCTCGGCGTCCCAGGCTCCGCCGCCGGCTCCCCAAGGCGGAAGCCCGAGCCGCGCGTCATCTGAGCGCGCCGGAAACCACGCGCCGTATTTCCTGCCGCGGGGCTGGGTGTCTACGGTTGTTACTGGCTCGGCGGCCCCGCCTTTTGCTAGTTGCCAAGATCCGCAAAGCCTGGAGCCGAGGAAGGCACCAGGACTTGCCCGCGGCCGGGCCCCTTGTTGGCGAGTGCGGGGACGTGGAACACCGGCCGCCAAGGCCCGATCTTGTGCATCCCGCCCATGTAGGCGCCTGGGGCCCTGGTCTTCCTCGACTGCCCCTCCACTGCCTAGAGGTCATCAAATGCCCCAGGACCACCTCCTGCGTGCCAGGCACTGTGTTGGCCAAAGAGGGTTCCATAATGAACATAAAATAGTTGCCCTATCGGAGTTAACCTGTTAGAATCACATGCAGAGGATTCTAACCAGGAAGGGCCTTGGAGTTAAGTTGAACTCTTAAGTCAGATTGCCTGGCTCTAAAGCTCAGTTCCACTATGTATGGTCCAGGAACTTCAGGCAAATTATTTTAATCTTTTATGTTTCACTATCGGCAGTTGTGAAGTAGAAAATACCTACTCATGCTGGGCGCGGTGGCTCAAGCCTGTAATCCCAGCACTTTGGGAGGCCGAGGCGAGTGGATTACGAGGTCAATAGATCGAGATCATCCTGGTCAACATGGTGAAACCTTGTCTCTACTAAAAATACAAAAAATTAACTGGGCGTGGTGGCGCGTGCCTGTAATCCCAGCTACTCAGGAGGCTGAGGCAGGAGAATTGCCTGAACCCAGGAGGCGGAGGTTGCGGTGAGCCAAGATCGCTCCATTGCACTCCAGCCTGGGTAACAAGAGCGAAACTCCGTCTCAAAAGAAAAAAAAAAAGAAAATACCTATTCATGAAGTTATGAGGAGGTAGTTAAAAAATATGTAATAGGCCAGGTGCGGTGGTTCATGCCTGTAATCCCAGCACTTTGGGAGGCCTAGGTGTATCACCTGAGGTCAGGAATTCAACACCAGCCTGGCCAACATGGTGAAACCCCGTCTCTACTAAAAATGCAAAAAATTAGCTGGTGTGGTGGCCAGCGCCTGTAATCCCAGCTACTCCAGAGGCTGAGGCAGGAGAATCTCTTGAACCCAGGAGGCAGAGGTTGCATCGAGTCGAGATCAGGTCATTACACTCCAGCCCAGGCAACGTGAGAAAAACTCCATCTCAAAAAACAAAAAAAAAGAATAAAAAGTACCATAGGTGATTTTTATAGCACTAATGAATCTATCAAGGAGCTAATGGAGGACTCCTAAGTGAGGAAGTAATAAAATCTGGTTTTTGTTTTAGAGAAATTAGTGGTGTTGACAGTGGAGGGTGTCCAGGTTCTTGGCGTCTTGAACAAAGACTTGGACAAAACACACAAAGCAAGGAAGCTATGAAGGGATTTATTGAAAATGAAAGTGTGAGAGAGGGCCCTAGCATAGAGGCTCAAAGGCCTTGTTACAGAGTTTTTTGTGAGTTTAAATACTGATGGTCTTTTTTTCTGTAACTGCTTCATGCTGGCTTGGGGTATAGTCTCTATCTATTGGGGATCATGGAACTCGCAGTGTTCTATCTAGTGGAGGCGGAGTAGCTAGCTTCTTCATGTCCAGGGGTGGTGTCTTCACATGGAACTGGCTGGAACCTTTGTTGCATGATCATCTGACTCTTGATTGTCTCTAGGCAAGAGGAAATGAACTTGGTTAAAAGATGCAATGGGAACTTCAGGAGCTGGGTACCTATGCTATCAGAAATGTTTGTTATAGAGATTTGTAGAAGAAAAAACAAAACCGGAGCTGGGAGCGGTGGCTCACGCCTGTAATCCCAACACTGAGAGGCTGAGTAAGGCAGATCACAAGGTCAGGGGTTTGAGACCAACCTGGTCAATATGATGAAACCCTGGGTCTACTAAAAATAAAAAAGTGGCCAGGCACAGTGGCTCACGCCTATAATCCCAGCACTTTGGGAGGCCGAGGCAGGTGGATCACGAGGTCAAGAGATCGAGACCATCCTGGTCAACAAGGTGAAACCCCATCTCTACTAAAAATAAAAAAATTAGCTGGGCATGGTGGTGCGCACCTGTAGTCCCAGCTACTTGGGAGGCTGAGGCAGGAGAATTGCTTGAACCCAGGAGGCAGCTGTTGCGATGAGCCGAGATCGTGCCATTGCACTCCAGTCTGGGTAACAACAGCGAAACTCTGTCTCAAAAAATAAAGAAATAAAAAAGTTAGCCGGTCATGGTGGCATGTGCCTGTAGTCCCAGCTACTTGGGAGGCTGAGGCAGAAGAATTGCTTGAACTCAGGAGGTGGAGGTTGCAGTGAGCTCTGAGATTATGCCACTGCACTCCAGCCTGGATGACAGAGCAAGACTTCATCTCTAAAAACAAAACAAACAGTTATAGGGGATTAACGAAAAGACCACTTAGTCAAGCGAGTAGACTCTTCATCTAGCTCATTCTTTATTTAATTTTAGGTGGTTTGGTTTATGGGGACCCTGGGTAAGGAGCATGCTCCAAACTCTTGGTATTATCCTCCCAATATTCATAATAATAGTCTCCCTGGTGTGCTATAGTCTCTCAAAGGTTTTCAGTGCTTGCATGCAGCCATCTCTAGAATGGCAAATGGTCTCTCTTGAACTGGAATAACAGAAGCTGAAAGAAACATGCAACCACCATGAGGACATCTTAACCTGAAAATGACGTGGTGAGACTCCACCCACCTCAGCCTCCCAAAGTGCTAGGATTACAGGCAAGAGCCAGTGTGCCTGGCTTTTTTTTTTTTTTTTTTTGAGACAGAAACTCACTCTGTTACCCAGGATGGAGTGCAGTGCTGTGATCTCGGCTCACTGCAACCTCCACCTCCTGGGTTCAAGCAACTCTCCTTCCTCAGCCTCCCGAGTAGCTGGGACTACAGACACCTGCCACCACACCCAGCTAATTTTTTATTTTTAGTAGAGATGGGTTTTCACCATGTTGGGCAGGCTGGTCTCAAACTGCTAACCTCAGGTGATCCACCAGCCTCAGCCTCCCAAAGTGCTGGGATTATAGGCATGAGCCACCATGCCCGGCCTACAACTGAATTTTCGTAACCTACATTTGATGCATTTCTCCATAGGTCACAAGTGTTAGCAGCTGCACAGATACTTTTCTGTTTAACCAATTCCAGTTATAACTTTCACAAGAGAATTTAAAATCTGTTGTGTAACTGTAGCCTTTACAGTAGAATTCGCTATAGAACCTATCATGAGGTCGAGCACAGTGGCTCACGCCTGTAATCCCAGCACTTTGGAAGGCCCAGGTGGGTGGATCTCCTGAGGTTAGGAGTTCAAGACCAACTTGGTCAACATGGTGAAATCCTGTCTCTATGAAATATACAAAAATTAGCCGAGCATGATAGCGGGCTTCTGTAATCTCAGCTACTCAGGAGGCTGAGGCAGGAGAATCACTTGAATGCAGGAAGGGGAGGAACCTATCATGAAGGATGCATTTCTAATCATTGCTTCTTTTACTTTAAACCACAGAAAAAGGACCTCACAAATAATGCCCTTTTAGAAAAGCAAAGGCCTCCTGGAAATGTTCTCTTTAACCCACGATGTGGGTTAAGAAGAGTGAACCAATGTTTTGTTTTTGACCGATTATGAGGCAACGTATGTACCATTAAAGTTTCTTACCTATATTGGGCCTTCATCTTTTATCTATCACAGTACAAGGTTATACATGTATAAGACTGCAAACTCCTTCACAAATGAAAGTATACCCCAGCAGTGTACATAACAGACCCCTTTTCCACTTCAGTTTTTTTTTATAGAGGCATAAGCAAGAAAAAAATATTCAAAGATAAGAGTTTCATGATAGTAGAATTCTTTTTTTTTTTTTTTAGACAGAATCTCACTCTGTAGCCCAGGCTGGAGTGCAGTGGTGCAATCTTGGCGCACTGCAACCTCCAACTCCTGGGTTCAAGCGATTCTCCTGCCTCAGCCTCCTGAGTAGCTGGGATTACAGGAACGCACCACCACGCCCAGCTAATTTTGTATTTTTAGTGGAGATGAGGTTTCACAATTTGGCCAGGCTGGTGATCCACCTGCCTCAGCCTCCCAAAGTGCTGGGATTGCAGGGGTGAGCCACCACACCCGGCAGATCGTAGAAGTCTTCATCTGTGAACTTGAGAAAAGCTGTTCATATCAAGGATCCCATCTTCTTCTTGGGAGAAATGTCCCTGGTTAGCTTTACCTCAAGGGTTCCAAAGGGTGCACAGTTCCAAAAGTACACAGGGACACTTCCCAGTTGCAAGACCATGAACCCAAAGCCCAAGGTCCTGAAGTTTTCTTGTAGTGTGGATGGTGAGGATAGTCTTTCTCCAATGTTTCCAGAGAATTCAAACCCTAAAAAAGCTTTCTGGCTGGGCATGGTGGCTCATGCCGGTAATCCCAGCACTTTGGGAAGCCGAGGTGGACAGATCACCTGAGGTCAGAAGTTTGAGACCTGCCTGGCCAACATGGTGAAACCCCATCTCTACTAAAAATACAAAAATTAGCCGGGCATGGTTAATCCCAGCTACTCTGGAGGCTGAGGTAGGAGAATCGCTTGAACCTGGAAGGTGGAGGTTGCAGTGAGCTGAGATCACACCATTGCACTCCAGCCTGGGCAACAAGAGCAAAACTCCATATCAAAAAAAAAAAAAAAAAATGATTCTCGGCTGGGTGCGGTGGCTCACACCTGTAATCCCAGCAGTTTGGGAGCCCAAGGTAGTCTAATCACAAGATCAAGAGGTCGAGACCAGCCTGGCCAATATGGTCAAATCCCGTCTCTACCAAAAATACAAAAATTAGCCAGGCATACACATCTACAACCATCTGATCTTTGATAAGCGATGGGGAAAGGATTCCCTGTTTAATAAATGGTGTTGGGAAAACTGGTAGCCATGTGCAGAAAGCAGAAACTGGACCCCTTCCTGACACCTTACACTAAAATCAACACCATCAAAACTACATTGAGATACCATCTCACACCAGTTAGAATGGCAATCATTAAAATATCTGGAGACAACAGATGCTGGAGAGGATGTGGAGAAATAGGAACACTTTTACACTGTTGGTGGGAGTGTAAATTAGTTCAACCATTGTGGAAGGCAGTGTGGCGATTCCTCAAGGACCTGGAAATAGAAATTCCATTTGACCCAGCAATCCCATTACTGGGTATATATCCAAAGGATTATAAATTGTTCTATTATAAAGACACATGCACATGTATGATCATTGTGGCACTGTTTACAATAGAAAAGACCTGG